AATATTTCCTGGCTTAGCAAATTAATTATAATAATAATAATAATAATTAATAATAATAATAATAATAATAATAATAATAATGGTAATAATATAATAATAATAATAATAATAATAATAATAATTATTATTATTATTATTATTATTTTATTATTTTTATTATTATTATTATTATTATTATTATTATTATTATTATTATTAGAATTATAAAAAAGACAATTATGATTCCTAGCCCTAACTTTGCTTAGCAAATTAACAGTTATAGCAATTACAATCCTCGCCTCACTGGGTTTAGCAAATAATTTATGTAAATACTCAAATACATTATTATTACAAATGTGCAAGAAATACAATTCAAGCCCCACTGGGCATGCAAATCCAACTAACTGTGGCAACTATAATCCACTACACAAACACCATTAATTATTTCTAATTATATATGAACCCAACAATCCCTTTCTATCTATCAGATCATTAAATTAAATAAAATTTTCATTGGTTACATATCCGATTCGATGGACTAAAGGCTTATGTGAATTATTATTTTATGTGAGCAAATTACGTGCAGGAGGTTGAGAGGTTTACCTGAATTATTACCTGCAAGTAATTTGGGTGAGGTAAGTGGGAGTTAGTCACAGCAGGTCGCCGAACTGTCACTCCCTCAATGCCCATTCCCTACCACTCTCATAAAACGCTAGACCTGACATTAAATTAATAATTACAATATTAAAACCAGCTACTCTGGTAAATTAAAGTTGTGTGGTCTGTATATGATTAGGCTTGCTGGGTTAACAGAATGTAATTTTTGGACATATATTATAACAGCGTTATTAGAAAGGAATTTTGTATTGCCACTTACCATTTAATTACTGGATTACAATTATTAATTTTTGGAAACACACCCTAATGCTATCACTACAGCTAGAATTTATGATGGCCAATGCAAAAACTACTATACATTATGGTATGCATCACTTAGCTATGGTGTATTATTGGGAAGGATTGGAATCCTCTATTTTTCTGTCCTTGTTGCCGAATTGTATGGGTTTTCCACATTAATTATCCCAAATCTTCAGCAATTTCTAAATTACGGATTGAGGCCGATGTACACCAGTTGACCTACGAGAACACCTGATTACATTGCAAAATTCAGACAAGTGTTCACACATTCAATTTCAATATGGCGTCTCTCGTGTGGCGTCACTCCCCCCGGCTGTTCTACCTCCCCACTCTCTGGAAATTTCTCGAAAGTTTCAAATCAGCATCATATTTTATTACATAATTATTGTATTATTCAAATTTACATATACTGAATTTACGAAAATCTAAAATTTCCACAAGTAGTTTGGTGTGGAATGCTTGGAGTGAGGGGTTATGGGAGGTGCGGGAGGGTCACTGTACACTACACGCGGTACAAGCACAGGAAGAAGGGCGAGGGGCAGTCACTGTACACTACACGCGGTGCAAGCACAGGAAGAAGGGTGAGTGGCAGTCACTGTATACTACACGCGGTGCAAGCACAGGAAGAAGGGCGAGGGGCAGTCACTGTACACTACACGCGGTGCAAGCACAGGAAGAAGGGTGAGTGGCAGTCACTGTATACTACACGCGGTGCAAGCACAGGAAGAAGGGTGAGTGGCAGTCACTGTATACTACACGCGGTGAAAGCACAGGAAGAGGGGTGAGGGGCAGTCACTGTACACTACACGCGGTGTAAGCACAGGAAGAAGAGTGAGGGGCAGTCACTGTACACTACACGCGGTGCAAGCACAGGAAGAAGGGTGAGGGGCAGTCACTGTACACTACACATGGATTGCACATTGTTGTTCACACTGTCTTGCTTACAATAAACACAACATTTATTTGTTTCCCATATGCATTATATAATATGTGGGTATGTGCACTGCTTAAAACCAGTGTGTTCTCTCATCTTTACCTACACACCCTGCCTCTTTCCCCTCCCTCGTGGCGTGGGGAAGGAGACACTGAATAATCCCTACCTCGTTACTCTCAACACCACATGCTTCCCACATCATATGCCTCTAATTATTCAATGCATCGACACATATTCCTTTTTAAGCGAACTGGAAGAATGGCACCTGTGCTGGAGGTAAATGTGTTTATGGAGGCGTCTCGAAGTTTGTGTATACGTGGCTGGCACCAACATATGGTAAAACATTTATAGATATTTAAAAAGAAAAGGTGGAAGTATACTATGATTTTTACTGCTGGATAAAATTACTGTCACTGTCACTGTTGTTAATACTTCTGCTACTCCCTCTATCATGCTCTATGAGCTCATTAAAGTTACTTTTGCACCTACAGTTTATAATCAGGCTATGCGGCGTATCACTGCAATATCGCGCCGAAGATGTGAAAGATATTTATTGTGGTTCCTATCGATGAAATTTAAGATTTGTCCTTACTATCGAATTACCATCCAATCAGTCTGATCAAAATTGGTGGCAAAATATTAGAATAATAATAATAATAATAATAATAATAATAATAATAATAATAATAATAATAATAATAATAATATTATTATTATTATTATTATTTTATTATTATTATTATTATTATTATTAATATCTTTATTTCTACAAGTACGTGTGTATGGTATACAGGCTTAGCTGACATCAGTGACATACTACTGTATAGAGCATTTCGAGTAAATTAAGTCAATTTTGTCCCAGGATGCGACCCACACCAGTCGACTAACATCCAGGTACCGATTTTATTGATGGATGAACAAGGACAACATGTGTAAGGAAACACGCCTAATATTTCCACCCTTGCCGGGAACTGAACCACGAACCCTCAGAGTGTGAAGTTAGAGCTTTATCTACCAGGCCACGGGTCACCCAAATAATGAACAATTAGAAGCCATCTTGGTGAACTTAATCAATTAATCATTCGCAATAAAGATTCCCAAGGGATCGGTCTTGCCCAGTAGACTTCAGTTTTTTCTTCAACACAGTATATGAAGAGGTGAGCCATGTTCAACAATATATAGCTGTTTACCTGGACTTCAGTAAGGCTTTTCGTGGAACTCCACACATAAAATTGTTGAAGAAAGTGGCAACACAGAATTGAAGAAAACTTTTCTCATGAATTGAGGCATGGCTGACTAATAAGCAGCAGAAAATTTGCACAAATGGGGTGGAATGAGAATGAGGACCCATCCCAGCGTATAATTTACATTGTTTACATTGTGAGTTCTGCATGCATATTTATGCACAAGGACTCTATTACGTAGATTATGTAATCATTGTTTGTTGCACGTTCCACACGGGATCTTGTAGACGCCTGCTTCAGTGCTGTGGTGATTTTTGTTTTTTGATTTCGTTAATTCATGAAAGGGATTAACTGGAGAGCCAAGGTTACACTGGTGGCCAGGATGACGATGATTTCTTGTTTGTTATCTTTGTTTTTTTCTCAGGTTTGTTGAGAATGTCCTGTCGTTTGGAGTCAAGGGTGAAGTAGATGGGATGTTGCAGCTTCTTAAAAATGGATCTGATAAGAAGAATTTCGCCAACATAATGTAGTCAACTAACATAGGATGAGAATATATTTGCAAACCTTAACCATAATTATGGATAACAGTAGATAGTTCTTACTCAAGATTAATGTAGATACTCCTCATCAGGTAGCTCTAGTGCGGACTTAGCAATTTTCTGTTGTCTTCTTTTTCCTTGTTCTCCCTTGTACTTCACTGATACTATTTCCATTCTATATTTTTTATCTGTAGAGATACTATTCAAATTTATCTTTATGCATGATTTCATGAGGTTGATAAAGTATGGTATGGTATTAATAGATTAATGTGGAGATGTTAGGTGACAGCAGCTAGCTTTACGTTCCTTGTTTTTGTCTGTTAGGTCTTTCAGTAAGATTGATGGCAAGAACGGGGAAGGGAAGGACTGAGGTACGATAGAACACAGACAAAGTTGCTGCCTAACCTCTTTGAGTGGGTTTTAAGAGAGAAGTTTTTTTTACTTAGTGACGAGCGTTTAAGGTCTTCCTTCTGCTGATGTCAGAAATCCTGTTAATGTCTCCTGAGTGGCGTAGATAAGCGTTACTAATGATGTTCAGGAATTCAGAGATTTAGATGGATGTTTGGAAAGAAGTCGTGCACGTTGGCGTGGTGTGTACTGATACCTGATGGAATGGTCTCATTGGAATATAAATTTAAAGTTTTAAGGAGAGCGTACCTACTAGCTGCTTTCGTGATGCTGGGGACGAGGAAGTAGAGTTTCTTACCTGGTTTGGGGCCCTTTAAAATCATGCGGGCGTCAGATAAATTGTTATTGGTGGCTCCCTCAAGTACACTGGTTGTGTGAGTCTTGTATGTGTTGGTATCTTGGAGAAGACACTAACACATGATGTTGCAGTTATTTGCTAAATTCTCCAGAGCTTTAATGTATGTGCTGGGCAATATTAGATGAGTTCACTGTATGTTTCTGTAAGAATTCCCTTTACTGAACCTTTCTTGAAATCCATTTTCCTGACATTGAAGTTCATAGTTTTAGTTCAAGCAGCCTTCAGTGCCACCAGTGAGCTTGGAAAGTTAATGATGAATTAGACACTTGTGCAGCATCTGGGTATCTATATTCTCTAAACTTTTCACCAATCAGTGGCTTTATCAATACAATACAGAAGACTGTACAATACTGATAAAATCACTGGTTGGAGAAACGTCTACAGAATAAAAATACACTGACGTTGCACATGTGTCTAATTTATCATCTGGTCGGTATAATACATTATTGACATACGTTTTAAAGATCACAGTGAAGAAGAGGCTGTTATTGGGACAATGTTTCAATGGTAAAGCTGTACATAGAGCGAAACATGGTTCCAGTGAAGCTAGTTCTGTAACGCAGATTTTCCTTATTACAGGAGGGAGAGTGAAACCATGAGGTAAACACATGCCAGAACACAAACATAATCCACACTAAATTAGTCATGTAATATTAAATCTTAAATCTGATTGCAGAATGAACTTCAAATGAAAATAGATAAAACCAGTAAGAAGAGAGAGGATACATCCGCCAAGAACGTCGTCACCACCAGCACAGACTCCACTACTACCTCCAACACCACCACCATCACCACCACCATCAGTGACACCATCAAGGCACCACTGAGGCTCGAGGCACCGCCGGGCAGCCTCACTACCACAACTAAAACACCGCCGGAAAGTCTCCTAAATGGAGACATCGTTGTCAGGTTGGTACAGTGACAGCAGTAACAAACGTCAATATTTTACGAAATAAACTGAAAATAATTATTGCTTCTGTTATTGTTATTCTTCTTCTTCCTCTTCTTCTTCTTCTTCTTCTTCTTATTATTATTATTATTATTATTATAAGAAAAAGCATTAAATATTGAAATCTGTTAATAATTATCATGGGTGTTAAAGAGAGGACTTGAGCTAAGTTTAAGGTAGTCAGGAAAATAAACATTAATATTTTAGGGAAATACTAAGCCTCAGAAGATGCCACAACACCTGGGATGTGATACAGGAAGGTGATGATAGCCACAGTTGCCTGGATTAACAGTGAATCACAAGTACCGTAATATTTACAGTAACCTCAAAGCTTGTATCTCCTCTATATTACACCTGTATTAAACCAAGTAAACAATAATTAAAGACGAAAATACAACGAAATAAACTACAACATATTGATCATTTTAGAAGTTTAAAAGATAGAAAGATGTACGTACGACAATATTATCTCCTTCTCTGGCTTAGTAGTGTATGATCAGTATCAGCAGTAACATTAGTATAACGCTGCTAGGCTCAGTGTTCTATGATCAGTACCAGCAGTAACACTGGTATAACCCTGCTAGGCTCAGTGTTCTATGATCAGTACCAGCAGTAACACTGGTATAACCCTGCTAGGCTCAGTGTTCTATGATCAGTATCAGCAGTAACATTGGTATAACGCTGCTAGGCTCAGTGTTCTATGATCAGCACCAGCAGTAACATTGGTATAACGCTGCTAGGCTCAGTGTTCTATGATCAGCACCAACAGTAACACTGGTATAACGCTGCTAGGCTCAGTGTTCTATGATCAGTACCAGCAGTAACACTGGTATAACCCTGCTAGGCTCAGTGTTCTATGATCAGTATCAGCAGTAACATTGGTATAACGCTGCTAGGCTCAGTGTTCTATGATCAGCACCAGCAGTAACATTGGTATAACGCTGCTAGGCTCAGTGTTCTATGATCAGCACCAACAGTAACACTGGTATAACGCTGCTAGGCTCAGTGTTCTATGATCAGCACCAACAGTAACACTGGTATAACGCTGCTAGGCTCAGTGTTCTATGATCAGCACCAGCAGTAACACTGGTATAACGCTGGTAGGCTCAGTGTTCTATGATCAGCACCAGCAGTAACACTGGTATAACGCTGCTAGGCTCAGTGTTCTATGATCAGCACCAGCAGTAACACTGGTATAACGCTGCTAAGCTCAGTGTTCTATGATCAGTACCAGCAGTAACACTGGTATAACGCTGCTAGGCTCAGTGTTCTATGATCAGCACCAGCAGTAACACTGGTATAACGCTGCTAAGCTCAATGTTCTATGATCAGTACCAACAGTAACACTGGTATAACCCTGCTAGGCTCAGTGTTCTATGATCAGTATCAGCAGTAACACTGGTATAACGCTGCTAAGCTCAGTGTTCTATAAGCAGCACCAGCATTAACACTGGTATAACGCTGCTAGGCTCAGTGTTCTAAGATCAGTACCAACAGTAACACTGGTATAACGCTGCTAGACTCAGTGTTCTATGATCAGCACCAGCAGTAACACTGGTATAACGCTGCTAGGCTCAGTGTTCTATGATCAGTGCCAAGAGTAACACTGGTATAACCCTGCTAGGCTCAGTGTTCTATGATCAGTACCAGCAGTAACACTGGTATAACGCTGATAGGCTCAGTGTTCTATAAGCAGCACCAGCATTAACACTGGTATAACGCTGCTTGGCTCAATGTTCTAAGATCAGTACCAGCAGTAACACTGGTATAACGCTGCTAGGCTCAGTGTTCTATGATCAGTACCAACAGTAACACTGGTATAATCCTGCTAGGCTCAGTGTTCTATGATCAGTACCAGCAGTAGCACTGGTATAACGCTGTTAGGCTCAGTGTTCTATAATCAGCACCAGCAGTAACAGTGGTATAACGCTGCTTGGCTCAATGTTCTAAGATCAGTACCAGCAGTAACACTGGTATAACGCTGCTAGGCTCTGTGTTCTAAGATCAGTACCAACAGTAACACTGGTATAACCCTGCTAGGCTCAGTGTTTTATGACCAGTACCAGCAGTAACACTGGTATAACCCTCCCAGGCTCAATGTTCTATGATCAGTACCAGCAGCAACACTGGTATAACCCTGCTAGGCTCAGTGTTCTATGATCAGTACCAACAGTAACACTGGTATAACCCTGCTAGGCTAAGTGTTCTAAGATCAGTACCAGCTGTAACACTGGTAAAACCCTGCTAGGCACTGTGGTCTATGATCAGCACCAGGAGTAACACTTGTATAACGCTACCAGGCACAGTGTTCTATGATCAGTACCAACAGTAACTCTGGTATAACCCTGTTAGGCTCAGTGCTCTATGATCAGTACTAGCAGTAACACTAGTATAACCCTGCTAGGCTCAGTCTTCTATGATCAGCACCAGCAGTAAGACTGCTATAACTCTGCTGGGCTCAGTGTTCTGTGATTAGTACCTGCATTAACACTGATATAACCCTGTCAGGATCATTTTTCTATGATCAGTACCAGCAGTAACACTGATATAACCCTGTTAGGCTCAGTGTTCTATGATCAGTACCTGCAGTAACGCTGGTATAACCCTGCTAGGCTCAGTGTTCTATAATCGGCACCAGCAGTAACACTTGTATGACCCTGCTAGGCTCAGTGTTCAATGATCAGTACCAGCAGTAACACTGCTAGGCTCAGTGTTCCATGATCAGTACCAGCAGTAACACTAGTACAACACTGCTTTGTTCAGTGTTCTATGATCAGTACCAGCAGTAACACTGGTACAACACTGCTTTGCTCAGTGTTGTATGATCAACACAAGCAGGTAAATACCATCATCATAAAACTGTATTGCGCCAGAAGCACTTACGATCAAAAACATTTATACTCATTTTTCTTTGCACATTTGTGTTTCTATATATTTTTGTTGCCCTTCTATTTTGTTGTTCCATTCTTCCCTCCAATTATCAATAATTGTGAAGGCTTACTCAGCCCTGTAATATCTTAAGTAGGTCTTACCAAGGCTGGCTCCTCCTTAGGAAAATTAATGAATAAAAAAAAATTAAAATACAAATATAAACACTTGATTGTTATAATTGAAAATATAAAACATTTAAATATGAACTTTTATCCTACGTGAAGGAGATATGAAAAATGAAATAAAAAAAATGACATTTGAATTCAACGCTGATATGTACAGTTAGACTGTGGTGTCTGGTTGATGTTGACACTGCGCACTGTAGAAATTGTAGGGGTTGCTGATGATGTGGGGGACAGGGGTCACAGCTGTTGAGTGACAACCCAACGACTAGTTCGTCACAGTGTCTCTAGCCTTGAATAATCAGTCAAGATGATAGGAACGCAGGTCTTTCACCACTACAAAGATGAGGGGTAGTTGCCTGGGGTTGGCTATACTCAGATATGTAGATAAAAAGTGACGTCCCAGAACTCATGTGAAGTTTGTATCCTTCAACATTATTTTTGTAGTTGCCAGATGACCCAAGCTGACTTTCCAAGCTTGAAAGAGACAAAAGTTAACCACTGCTTGAGAAATCACTCTCCATGATAAATAAAGCATTTAATAGAATGGTGAGGATTTAAAAGCCAAACATGGAAATCAAGGCAGAATGAACTACGTATTAGAATTGGTTAAAAGTGAAGTTTTTAACCAATACATCCACTAAAATAGGAGCAGAGGCTTTTACTTACAGTTGTGCTGGGAGCTGTGAGTCAAGTGATTATCCATTTGGTTGGAGCCCCACACGTCACCTTTCCGGGTGGAGAAAAGGGGGGGGGGGGTAGCGGGAGCTAAACACTGGCCCTACCTTAACAAGCAGATTGGCAATCAAACTATCGTCACCATATACTCGCTTGCTACTCCTATCTGTTGAACTCTTCCCTCACACTCCCCCATACCAAGACTTATATTCAAGGAGTATAAGAAGAATGTGCGAGGAAAAAGTTCTAAACCGGGAAAGTCGCGTAAGGTACCAAATCTTCTACTGACTGTCACGACTTAATCAGTCAGAGAAATAATTGGATGAGCCATTGATATACACAATATGAAACTTAAATGCTTGGAGTGCCAATGTCCACCTCAAGAGGCGACTGTTGGTTTCCCTTAAAATTTCTAGGTATATCAAAGGTTTGTGATCGGTCTCTAAAATGAATCTTTTCCCAGTAAATAAAATTTAAGTTTGGAAATACCCCACACAAGGGCTAAACATCCCTTCTGTATGGTGGAGTATCTCGTTTCTGCAGGAGGGAAGTTTTAGATTTAATAAATATACAGAAAATAGGAGTGTGTGTGTGTATTTTGTGCAGTAAGCACCTGACACCTATTTCAAGAACTATACTTTTTTGTAACCTATGAGTACATGCTTGACCAAAAATAAGTGTGCTTGAGTTTGTGCCACGTCTTACGATAGGCCAAGTGTTTGGTCACCGACAAATCATGAGCCATTTGAAGAACAGTCTCCCGGCATGGTTTAGGAACAACAAGGAGGGAATAATCTATCACTGAAGAATGAGATTTAAATACAGATTTATATAAGGTACCATTAATATATTCAAACTTATGTGATACGTATCTCCCGTGGATAACTTTGTTGTTAAAAGCATGATTATGACAATCCCGATGTGAAGGGCAATCCTGCTGTAAAATGACAAAGTCATCCTTGGACATAAAATCTGGGAAAATGAAAGGACTTATGGTGGGAGAAGAGGAGGTAGGTGAAGCCGGGGTTATGGTCTGAGCCCAAGTCAAGACATTGAGAGTGCCGGAGGCAATACCCTTACTTTCACCTGACGAGTGGACATGTGATCCTGCTACTTCACTATCGAGAGCAGTATCATCTGTTTCTACCCCCAAATGAACCATATGAGACAATGCAGCTTCCGGTGCGGAATTGTTAAGGGGCTTATTTAAATTGCAAAGAAGAGGAGCTGGAAAACTTGGGTCCACGGGTGGTGATGAAAGATCCGCCCCCGAAGGAAGAATGGCACATTTAACGTTACCCACTATTATAGAACAAGTAGTAATTGGGGCTAGTACCGCATTAGTCCAACATGTGAACCATTTAGTTTTCAAGTAACAACGTATTGTAGGAAAAGTATTTTCACGACCCAAGTAGTCTGAAAGAATAGAGGACACACGAGAGGTTTTAAAGTTAGGGAACAGTTTGTCCGAAATTACGATGCACGTACATCCAGTGTCACGAAATATGGCTGAGACTTTTATACCATTAACTGTTCCTGAACAGAAGGGTGTTTGGTCATTACCATCAAAAAAACATCTGTCAACTTTCTCTATTTTTTTGGAAGGACAACCTGGACGTTTATGTTCAGTACCACCACACTGATGACATGTTGGTATAATAGCTGATTTGTTTTCTACTGTAGGCTTCTTAACCTTTGGTTCAGGTGAACCATTGCCCTTAGGAATCGATCCCTTTAGGTCTTTATAGGAATTGTGAGCCTCAGCATACAAGTCAGCGGCCTAATCAACTTCCTCAGCTTTAATCAGGTTACGTTCTCTAATGAATGTTTGTATCTGGTGGGGAAGAGCTGTCAGGAACTGGTCAGCAACCATGAAATCTCTAAGAGATTCATAACTGTGATCAATTCCTGAGCTCTCTATCCAAAAGTCGAACAAACGAAAGAGTGTTACCTGTAACTGCTGAAAGTTTTGGCCATGCTGTAAGGTGACATACCTGAAATCTTTCCTATAAGAATTTGTGGTCTTTTGGTTTGCTTTAAGGATTGCCTTCTTAAGTATGTTATAATTACATATGATATCCTGCAACAAAGTTGCATAGATATTCAAAGCTGTACCGGAAAATAACATACCTAACCTGGTAGCTCAGGTGTCAGCTGGCCATTCACAGAGGGTAGCGGTATTTTCAAACCTAATAATGTATGAAGTTAGGTCTTCCCCCTCTGTCAAGGGAGGTAAATTAGGTGTTGCATTATGTTGACTAGCTGTATGATGTTCAATTACTCCTTCCTCTAATTGCCATTGTGAAAAAGTTAACTTTTTATCTTTCTGTCTCTCTCACAACTCATTCTCTCTAGCTTTTTCCTCACGTTTTCTAGCTTTTTCCTAAAGTTCTCTATCTTTTGCTCTTTCCTCAAGTTCTCTTAATTTAAATTGTTCCTCACGTATTTTAGCTCTCTCCTCATGATCAAGTCTATCACGCTCCTTTTTGTCTTCTCTCTATCTTTCTATTCTTTCTCTTTAAATTCTTTCCTGGATCTTAGTGATAATGAAAGCTTCTAAAATTTTCCCCTTTATTCCTAACTTACTCCCAGTGTTCATCCAAAATTGGTATTCCTCCATGCTTGCAAGAATAACTTAAACTACCAGGGGAAAATGAAACAGATATATCAAAGAAAATGGTGGGTTCAATTCCTGCTCCACTCAAACTGTAAATAAATCGGAGGGTTCGATCCCTGCTTCGATTAAACAGTATGTATCAAAGAAAACGGAGGGTTCTATGCCGGCTCCGACCAAACAGTAAGTTGAATGGGGTCACTTGACTATCCAATCTTCTCACCAACAAATCAAGAGTGTCCTACAACAGTTCCCTTGATATAATAAATATAACTCAATGAAACAGCTTGTCACTGGAAAGTCTCGGGTCCCTAGAGTCTATTCCTCCAAATCGTTTAAAGCTCAAAAACATAGGTGGCAGAATTAACTAGTATATCCTGCCTTGACTTGACTTACAATAAATTGAGACTATAACAATCACCAAATCTTTTAAATACCTGTACTGTAGTCCTACCATAGAGAATGATCACTTATGGCTGGTGGTAGCCGTCTGTGGTATGCAGCTATGAAGGTCCAATGGTAAATTCGAGATGGAGTTCAAACTTGATTCAGTCGAGTAATTCTGGCAAGGTCGCCGCTTGTGAAGGCTTACTCAACCCTGTAAAATCTTTAGTAGGTCTTACCAAGGCTGGCTCCTCCTTAGGTAAAATTAATGAATAGAAAAAGAAACATACAAATATAAACACTTTATTGTTATAATTGAAAATATAAAACATTTAAATATGAACTTTTATCCTACGTGAAAGAGAAATGAAATATTAAATAAAAAAATTATATTTGAATTCAACACTAATATGTACAGTTAGACTGTGGTGTCTGGTTGATGTTGACACTGCGCACTGTAGAAATTGTAGCGGTTGCTGATGATGTGGGAGAAAGGGGTCACAGCTGTTGAGTGACAACCCAACGACTAGTTCGTCACAGTGTCTCTAGCCTTGAATAATCCGTCAAGATGATAGGAACGCAGGTCTTTCACCACTACAAAGATGAGGGGTAGTTGCCTGGGATTGGCTACACTCAGATATGTAGATAAAAAGTGACGTCCCAGAACTCATGTGAAGTTTGTCTCCTTCAACACTACTTCTGTGGTTGCCAGATGACCCAAGCTGACATTCCAAGGTAGAAAGAGACAAAAGTTAACCACTGCTTGAGAAATCACTCTCCATGATAAGTAAAGCATTTAAAAGAATGGTGAGGATTTAAAAACAAAACATGGAAATCAAGGCAGAATGAACTACGTCTTAGAATTGGTTAAAAGTGAAGTTTTTAACCAATACATCCACTAAAATAGGAGCAGAGGCTTTTACTTACAGTTGTGCTGGGAGCTGTGAGTCAAGTGATTATCCATTTGGTTGGAGCCCCACACGTCACCTTTCCCGGTGGAGAAAGGGGGGGGGGTAACGGGAGCTAAACACTGGCCCTACCTTAACAAGCAGACTGGCAATCAAACTATTGTCGCCATATACTCGCTCGCTACTCCAATTTGTTGAACTTTTCCCTAACAATCATTGTCCCAGAGCTCAATCACTAGCGCACTCAACTCACACACTGAGATCCAGGGGTCGATCCCCGGTTTGGTTGGAAACATCAGAACATGTTTCCTTAAGGCATCTGCTGTCCCTATTCACCTATCAGTAAAATAGGTACTTGGGTGTTAGTCGACTGGTGTGGGTCGCATCCTGGGACAAAATTGACCTAATTTGCCCCTTTGTTATGCTTTGCAAATAAGGGGCTTTCTATATCTTAGTATGTCATTGATGTCAACTAGGCTTATGTATCTTGTACATGTACTTGTAGAATTAAGGATTGTTATTATTATTATTATTATTATTATTATTATTATTATTATTATTATTATTATTATTATTATTATTATTCTTACTTAGTTCATCCTGTCACTCTTTCCACTATCAGTATTCTGTAAATTAATTTGTAAATGCTTCCCCTAATTTCTGAAGTTTAGGAATGATATTTCCTTGATTTCAGGTTAGTTTAATTTAGCTTAGGTTGGGTATGGTTTGGCTAGATTAGATTAGGCTAGGTTGGGTTGGATTAGGTTAGGTTCGATTAGCCTAAGCAAGTTTTGGTTAGGTTAGGTCTAGGCTGGGTTAGGTTAGGTAGGATTAAGTTAAGACAGGTAGGATTAGGTTAAGGTAAGCTGATTTTTTTTAGGCTAGGTTGGATCAGGTTAGGTTAGGTTGGCTTGGGTTAAGCTAGGTTGGGTTAGGCTATGCTAGGTTGGGTTAGGCTACGCTAGATTAAGCTAGGGTGGGTTAGGTTAGGCTAGGTTGCACTAGGTTAAGTTAAGTTTGATTAGGCTAAGCTAGGATGGGTTAGGTTAGACTAGGCTGGATTAGGTTAAGCTATGTTGGGCTACTTTAGGTTAGGTTGAATTGGGTTAGATTAGTGTGGTTTATGTTAGGCTGGGTTAGGTTACGTAAACCTATAAGAATGTAAATTTAACCACAGGTAAATTAAAACTAGGCCGCAACACGTCTGTCATGGATGTGATGAGCGTGGCCAGGGAACGATCAAATCTGCTCTTGTCATAACTGTAACCTTAATTTTTAAAAGGGTAGACCGGTAAGGCCTCGGTCAAATGACCAACAGCTCCAGCTGCGGGTCAACGTATAACTAAGACCCGTGTCAGGAAACACTTTTCCTGTTTCCTAACAAATCTTACCTGGTGGTAGAAGTGCGAGTTACTCTCCTGTACTACTACTCATGTCCTTGCTTCTTCCTTTTGTATCAGACGTAGTCTGCCGGGTCGAACTGGGCGAGGGGATCCCCGGCTGGTACGTTCCCTTGACCTGGAGCTGCTGGAGGAGGAGGCTCACAACACACGCAGGATGCTGGAGGAAGAGCGAGCCAAGAATATGTATCTCACCTCGCTTGTGGAGGATCTAAAGAGGTGAGGCTAATTCCAGACTTACATAATATCCTGAAGGAAAAGGAATTTTCTGGTTCATTTACGGTTTGAAATAATTTTCATAAATTAGGCTTCCAACCTAATTTATAAAAATTAGGCTGGGCAGGGAGATACGCAAAAATTAGGCCTGTACGTATCTATTCTATCAATCTTGTTATTTGTGCATCAGACTGATAGTTATAGCTATCCTGTGAGCTTATGTTTATACCATATAGTTTATACCATATAATTTAGTCTATGACATTCTACGACCTACACTACTCGTCTTGTGAGCTGTAGTCATCACATACCCATCCTGTTGGTGGCAGTCATCACATACCTATCCTGTGGGCAGTAGTTATCACATACCATTCCTGTGAGCTGTAGCCATCACATACCCATCCTGTGAGCTGTGGTCATCACATACCCACCCTGTGGGCGGTTGTCATCACATACCCATCCTGTGGTCGATAGGCATCACATACACATCCTGTGCACAGTAGTCAAAACATTACAGTCACACATATAATGGGTCCAGGGGCTGAGCCACACATAATGGGTCCAGGGGCTGAGCCACACATAATGGGTCCAAGGGCTGAGCCACACATAATGGATCCAGGAGCTGAGCCACAATATTTTCATTAACTAAGCAAGATAAAAAGGTAATTAACTATATATAAATTTATTGACTTGAGAAAAATATTTTAAGAGTTTTTTACAAGCATAGGTTAGGACGTAGTTTATAGTTATCAGTTAGTTACAATGTTCACTATTTAGCAAGTTATAGTTATATTTAGGCGAGTTACAGTAACTATCACAAGTTGCTGGTAGTAAAATACAGTGAAAATTTCTGAACATTTTACCTGTGGGTTGTCTCTGAATTCTTGATTGATTGTTTTTACATTTCAATGCACAATGTTGTAAGACGTGACAATAAATTTTCTGCAACGTTAATATTCAGTGAGGTGAACATCAGCTGGTGGTACGAACTCCCATTCTTGCCTATAACTTAGGACAGTAGTGACATCTCTGTCTGATGATTTTATGAATGCACCATTGACATGTGGCTCTTACTGCACGATAGAATGATAATATCTGGACTGACTCATGTCAATCAAAGAAGCTCAGTTTAAGATCACTTTGTATTATTGTCTTCATATTATAAATGACATCCCATTGTTGTACTTTGCTCTCTACTGGAAGGACATCCCATTGTTGTACTCTGCTCTTTCCTGGAGGAGATCCCATTGTTGTACTCTGCTCTCTACTGGAAGGACATCCCATTGTTGTACTCTGCTCTTTCCTGGAGGAGATCCCATTGTTGTACTCTGCTCTCTACTGGAAGGACATCCCATTGTTGTAATCTGCTCTTTCCTGGAGGAGATCCCATTGTTGTACTCTGCTCTCTACTGGAAGGACATCCCATTGTTGTACTCTGCTCTTTCCTGGAGGAGATCCCATTGTTGTACTCTGCTCTCTACTGGAAGGACATCCCATTGTTGTACTCTGCTTTTCCTGGGGGAGATCCCATTTGTTGTACTCTGCTCTCTATGGAAGACTCCCATTGTTGTACTCTGCTCTTTCCTGGAGGAGATCCATTGTTGTACTCTGCTCTCTACTGGAAGGACATCCCATTGGGTTTTACTCTGCTCTTTCCTGGAGGAGATCCCATTGTTGTGCTCTGCTCTCTACTGGAAGGACATCCCATTGTTGTACTCTGCTCTTTCCTGGAGGAGATCCCATTGTTGTACTCTGCTCTCTACTGGAAGGACATCCCATTGTTGTACTCTGCTCTCTACTGGAAGGACATCCCATTGTTGTACTCTGCTCTTTCCTGGAGGAGATCCCATTGTTGTACTCTGCTCTCTACTGGAAGGACATCTCATTGTTGTACTCTGCTCTCTACTGGAAGGACATCCCATTGTTGTACTCTGCTCTTTCCTGGAGGAGATCCCATTGTTGTACTCTGCTCTCTACTGGAAGGACATCCCATTGTTGTACTCTGCTCTTTCCTGGAGGAGATCCCATTGTTGTACTCTGCTTTCTACTGGAGGACATCACATTGTTGTACTGTGCTCTCCACTGGAGGACATTCCATTGTTGTACTCTACTCTCTACTGGAGGACATTCCATTGTTGTACTCTACTCTCTACTGGAGGACATCCCATTGTAGTGCTCTGCTCTCTACTGGAGGACATCCCATTGTTGTACTCTACTCTCTACTGGAGGACATCCCATTGTTGTACTCTGCTCCTTCCTGGAGGACATTCCATTGATGTACTCTGCTCCCACCTGGAGGACATCCCACTGTTGTGCTCTGCTCCCTCCTGGAGGACATCCCATTGTTGTACTCTGCTCTTTCCTGGAGGACATCGCATTGTTTTACTCAGCTCTTTCCTGGAGGACATCGCATTGTTGTACTCTGCTCTCGACTGGAGGACATCCCATTGTTGTACTCTGCTCTTTCCTGGAGGACATCCCATTGTTGTACTCTGCTCTCTACCGGAGGACATAAGCCTTTACCACTTTACATTCTATTATGTTTTTGAAGGTATCTCCAAAAGATGTGCTTTGACTCCTGTATTTAAATTTCTACCATTATCTGGCTTCTGACACGAGCTTGTTAAAATTATCCTTCATGGAATTAAAGGCATTCATGGGTGATAGAAAATAACTTGTAATTAAGGTGTCAATTTTAGATGCAACGACATATTTGAGTGTTTCAGGGGGTGACATCTTTTTACCCAAAATTAGGCCTACTCTTCCAGCGGTACCTTTTGTTATCAAAAGTTTATGATCAATATATTAGGTATGATTATATGTGGAAGTTGACCTTGGAGGCTTGAGTGTCTGTCCAGGTGGAGCTTGAAGGTAAGGTGTCTGTCCAGATGGAGCTTGAATGTAAGGTGTCTGTCCAGGTGGAGCTTGAAGGTAAGGTGTCTGTCCAGGCGGAGCTTGAAGGTAAGGTGTCTGTCCAGGTGGAGCTTGAAAGTAAGGTGTCTGTCCAGGTGGAGCTTGAAGGTAAGGTGTCTGTCCAGGTGGAGCTTGAAGGTAAGGTGTCTGTCCAGGTGGCTTGAAAGTAAGGTGTCTGTCCAGGTGGAGCTTGAAGGTAAGGTGTCTGTCCAGGTGGAGCTTGAAGGTAAGGTGTCTGTCCAGATGGAGCTTGAAAGTAAGGTGTCTGTCCAGGTGGAGCTTGAAGGTAAGGTGTCTGTCCAGATGGAGCTTGAAGGTAAGGTGTCTGTCCAGGTGAAGCTTGAAGGTAAGGTGTCTGTCCAGGTGGAGCTTGGAGGTAGAGTGGCTGTCCAGGTGGAACTTGGAGGTAGAGTGTCTTTCCAGGTGGAACTTGGAGGTAGAGTGTCTGTCCAGGTGGAACTTGGAGGTAGAGTGACTGTCCAGGTGGAACTTGGAGGTAGAGTGACTGTCCAGGTGGATCTAAAGAATTTTAAATGTCACTAACAAGATCATTTTTAAGATCATGGCGGAGGGATATTCATAATAATGATCTCACTCTCATCATGAGCCATAAAGTTAACACGTTGCACAGGGGTAATATGACAGCATATCCATTTGTATATCACACCAGGGAGGAGAGTATTACCAACATTAGGAAGTATTTTGATGATATATTTGTTGCAATATAAGACTGGTAAAGGCAATGTTAAAATAAAGACAAAGATCAATGACGCCTCCACAGACATATTTTATGTCTAACATTGTAGTTTCCCACAATAATGATTTCTGATCCAGCGCATGTTTTATAGTCAATATAATTAAGCTTAGCAGTAGGAGAATTAAAGTTATATATATTGAAAGGAAAGCTTCCTTCATAAATCTTAAGCTCATCGCAATGAAGCCTCTTGGTCTTCTTAGTCGCAGGAGGTTGATGGAGAAATATTTTTCTTCTAGTAAATGATACAAGAATTAGTATATTTTAGGTTATATAAAATAAATAAGGGTAATTTTTGAGACTGGGATCTTGCAAGATCCCAGTCTCAAAAATTATGATATTTAATAGTGAAAGTCGGTCTTTCTCTAAATGATGCATTATTTTAAGCAAGTATAGAAAGTATACGTAACTTTTCGTTCACAACATAAGTCCTACAGAACCACGTAGCTCCGCGGTATACTGATCAAATTTACTATATAGTAAATAAACATTCCTTGTTTTATTTGATTTTTTTTCTGTTTAACTCTTAACTGTAGCTCTATTTCTGAAGTAATATAGGAGCCTTACTTTGTACAGAACATTAAGCTATTTTTCTGTGAATATATTCTAGGTGATATTACACTTTAGAACCTCTCTTCTCCACCACCAACATTACTTAGCGACATTTCCAGTATAATCGACACGTCACTACAATCACGAACTTAGTCACAATCACCACAATCAGCACCTGTCACTTGTCAGTTGTCTCCAATACCAGCGTCATATGCAATATTATTTTCAAATCACCGATACTCTTACCACTGACTGATACACAAACCTGCAGCTGACTTTGTTTTTTAGCTGATAATATTCCTGCTTCATCAGCTACGTATGTGATTGCAGCTGATGTACAACTGAGCTGATGTAGGTAACAGCTCTTAGCTTGCCAGTAAAGTTAGGAATCCTTAACCTGTAAATAGCTTGTCAATAAATCTAGGGATCCTTAACCTTGTCAAACCCTGTGTAAAAAAAAAAAAAAAACTGAATCTGTCTCATTTGTTGACGTTAGGCCTGGACCAGCTGAGTTCTTCATGATGATGAATAAGACACATGTGCAACACCTAGGTATCTTTATTCATTAGATATTCAGCTTGCACAGCAGAATTTCTCACTATGATGCTGAAGTAGTGAGGTAATTTTAAGGTGTTTCGAACCCTAGCCTTGATAGAAGGTGTTTGGTCCCTTAGCAGTAATAAGTTCTCGGTCCCTTACCCTTGATGTTCGTTCGATTCCTTAGCTGTGATGCAGTATGTGTTCATTCCCACAGTTTTATCTATCTTAAGCAGATGCAAGAGGA